CATCAGGTACCTGATGTTTTCTACAGTTTAATAGAATGTTTTGGTATTGTGAAACTTACGTCCAGTCTATTTCCTCAATTGAGTCAGGTCAAAATTCAGCTTCACTGCATAACACTTTTAATGCCGAACCTTTCGTTAGAGTGGTTATGTTTCAAACGATGGCTTATGATCTTCTTCCAATTGAGAATGATGTGCACAAGTCTGAAGCCCCAAAAGTTTTATGCCCTAGTGCTTTATCCCACCCAACGCATCCTCGAAGGCGTCGCTGCCTGATTTTCTAAGCTTAATGTATGCTCCAGACCCGGTCAAACCAAATTCAGGACAAACTATAATACTCATGAATATGTACATCCCTCACCAAGCAGAGAGGTTGAAGAGAAGCGGAAAAAAGCTTCTGAACACCTCTGGTTGTCCTCAAACACGTTGAGGTTGAAAGGACGTAACCAAAATTACCACCCAGATTATAAGTAAGAGTAAGGTAGAGTAGTTATTATTCTTTTCCCTACTACATTTATGTACCTGCAGCTAGTTTCGGAGAGATAACTACTCTTAATGAAACAGAAAAGCAATTTAAAATAATTAAAGAAAATGAGTTGGAACAGCTGGGTTAATTTTATTTTCCTAAGCTAAGAATAGAGTTTCCACAGTAATCGCATACAGATAAATTTGGTATATGCGATCTAAGTTATATAAAAAAAAATCATACTCTGTCTTCTTCCTGATCAACATAGCGTTAAAGTATGCACTCATAAATTACTTTAATAAACCATACATGGTAGCTTACATGCATGTGTGTATATTACTAAAAGAAACCTTTACATTATTGAGCTCCGAAAGTGGCATAATATAAATAATTGAATTAAACTATATACATGGAAAACACAGAGCAATATTATATTTATCTTTAATTTGAATAATATTTACAATTATGTATTTTCAAATAATAATAAACATATTGTTCAATACCATTATTCTAAAGTTCTATCAAAACACTGGTATTTTTCACATGAGCAGCACCTTATGCACGCGTGCCTAATCAGCCAGGATAGACCTCTCCCTTTCATAGAACTTTTAATTAAAAATAAATGTTGATAAATACACATTCATCTATTGTTAATTACACTGCCAGCTCCTTTAGTTAACAACTTTTGAATGGTTCAACTCTCTTCATTATTCATGTTTAACTATGCACAAGGCTTCTTTTTCTCCATAACCTGTTGATATGTATATATATATTATTTTTGACTTTGCTTGACACTTGTAACATTAATCTTACATCTGATTGTACAAAATTAAATAAATTATTTTCACATAAAACCGCTCAGGACTGATTACGTGTAATTCGGAATAAAATGTTATTTGTTGTTACCATTCCTTTATTATATTACAAAACATTGTAACTCGTTATCCCACATGCTTGAATCTAAACAATCAGATAAATATTTAAGAAATTATTCAAATATTAATTATATTTTGGTCTTGCATCTTAGTGTGACTGAATATTTCACATAACTGTTGTTTATCCATCACACATACAAAAAGTGCAAGAGGCGGATGGGTAAAAAACGTGCAAGTTAAACATTAAAAATATTAAATACATATTTATTTACCCTTCTTTCTAGTACCTTTTAGTCTTTCAATTAAATTCAAAAAAAAAGCGAACGTTTTTAACGATACAACAACAAAAGCTGAACTCCTACAAAATATCATTACGTAAACATTCGGAGGCGCCTTGGAAAGTGCAAATGGCTACAAGTCTTCTTGAGTCGCTTGTTGTTTAACCGTACACGTTTTGTTTGTTAAATTAACTGAGCAAAATGTAATATCTTCTGTTAATTATTTGTTTATGCGCTTTTATTTTTCAAGTTGTCTATCAAAAAGCATTAAATAATTATATCCTCTGGACGTCAAATGACTAGTATTTTAATTCTGGTAACTGGAAATACCAACAGAATGTTTTCGAGCGAGTGGTAAATTAAGAAAGAACTTGCTTACGACCTCTGAAAACAAGATAAAATTATTTTGTTGGCCGTGTCTACATGCTTCCTCTAAATCAAGAGAAAGTGTGTAAAGTATCTAAAGATATGTACTTTAATTAAATTTAATAAGAACAATTAAAAGTCGCATACTTGGATTGACTTTTATAATTGGGCCTGTTTGGTAGAGTTGGAATAAATGAATCCCTCTTAGAATCGGATGGATCGAATACAATAGCACATATATCAGGATTTAGGACTTGAAGACCTGGGAGAGTCAGGTTCAAGTTGATCTCTTCCTCCCTCCTGAGCTGTTGTTGTTAGGTGTTCTATAGTTGGGGTTTAGTAAGCTGGTTTGGATGTTTATCAGTTCCCTTTTCAGGGCTATGTCCATTTTATGTTGTTAGGGTATGTATTTCTTTATGAAGTTATGTTCTGTAATGTTTGTGAAAATACGCGTAATTGTATGTATGGTGTTCTATAGCTATTTTAATAATTAGTGTGAAACTGTCATCGTGGTTTTCTGTATTGTGCTAGAAATTCATAAAATATGTTTGGCTGTTTAAGATATCTTGGTTATTGTTTAATTTTGTTGTGTTTGAACATTTGTGTGTTCTTCGTTTGTTTTGGTGTGTGTATTTGTTGCCTGTGCACATGTAGATTGTTGATTTGTGTTGGTGGTTTCTTGAGGTTTGGGTGTTAGCAACAAAGGTATTCTTCTTTGTGTTCTGTTCGTTTCCTGACTTTGTACTTGTGTTACTAAGTATGTTAGTTATACGTGTTTTAATGTTCTTGTATTTTTGGCATCCTTTGTTGTTTGCCGTTGGCAGTTACAGCGATGGTTTTTTTTTCCCCGAGGACAATCTGTGTTCTTCCCCACATCCTACACAGCACGGGAGAACTTTACATGCGGCAGCCACATGTCGGTAACGTTGGCAGTTGTAACACTGGGTTACAACTAACGCTGGTGTTTTTGTGGGTTCTACTGTATATTTTTGATACAAGAGAATGATACCATTTGATATCATGCTCTGAATATCTTGTGTTTCGTGTACGTGTATTTTAACTAAATTGGTAAGTTTCCGTGTTTTGTTTGAGAATATGCGTTTTACCGTGGTATATTGTATGTGTATGTATGCAAGTTTTACTTCTATATCTTCATCTGTATTGTTTTGAATTTTGCGCAAAGCTACACTAGGGCTATCTGCGCTAGCCGTCCCTAATTTAGCAGTGAAAGACTAGAGGGAGGGCAGCTAGTCATCAGCACTCACTGCCAACTCTTGGGCTAATCTTTTACCAATGAATAGTGGGATTGACCGTCACATTATAATGCCCCCACGGCTGAAAGGGCGAGCATGTTTGGTGTGGCGGGGGTTCGAACCCACGACTATCAGATTTCTAGTCGAGCGCCCTAACCACCTGGCCATCTTCATCTGTAATACTAGAGTGTAAATGGTAATCTTATAAAGAAACTAAGAATTGAAGCCTTTTTAAAAGTATAATGAAGTTTATTTCTTACATAAAATTTGTTCAATCCATGGTCCATTTCCTACAACTTCCAATCCACATTGAAAATAAAATTCAAAAAGCTTTGCCCTCTCTATGAGCTACCACTGATTATTACAAAAAACTAAGTCCTCCATTTATAAAATAGAATCTAGTTATGTAGAATTAAAGGTAGAAATGAGAATAACTTATGTTTACAGCTTATGAAAATGTTGCCCATAACACGTTTTTTGCAACTATTGATCTTGTATATTACAGACAACCAAGATGAAATAATATATTTATAAATACGTAATCCTATCACTCCAAGCTTAACGTCCTTGTAAAAAAACTTGAAAGACGTGTCACAAAAAGTTTTAGAAAAAGTTAAGTAGTTTATCAAACTCAAGTTCATTATCTCAGTACTTGTGTATTTTTACCAGTTTTAACTGATAACTTTGCTAGAAAACTTGAGAAAATGTTTCATTATACCAAAGGTAACCACCACATTTCTTGTGTGTAGTATTTTAATATCTTGCTACGCTGTACTGTCTGGTTTCTTGTTTTTCCCACAAATTGATGACCTCTCGACACAACAGTTAATATCTAATTCACATGTAATTGCAACAAGGATAAACTGTTTCAAACTTTTAAAGTAACTATGACAATGTTGGTACTACACAATATTTATTTAATTTGCAAAAAACTAATTAATTACACAAATTGATGTGCATATGAAAGAACAAAATTTGTTCATGCCCTCAAAAAATGCATGTCAACACTAACACCACTGGCAGTTCAGCAGAACTGTGTTGGGCATTTGAAATATATATATATAGATCCAGGAAGTAAGTTATTTAATTAAAAAAATATTACATATATCTGTTAATCAAAACTGATCACACAAACACAAATATGGAACATATTGAAATTGATAATCACTTGATGAAGTTATAGGCAAGAAGACCTTAAATTAGGGTATTCTAAATATCTTTCATTGAAATTATTCAGTGTATCATTTAATATTGCAAGGGTTGTAAGATTTATTTTACAATATTATTTATTTATGAAAGTGACCTATTTTTTATCTTTGCTATCATGGCTTTAATTTCTAACATATGGATTAAATACAGGAAAGTAGAAAAAATAATTAAAAGTATATTTAAAAAATAGTGAAAAAATGCATATTGTAATATCCATTCTGTAGCCATTTAAAAGTTTACAGAGGTTTAATATAATGATAGCCCATGACAACCATTTACCTGTTTTGCTTCAGTTGGTTCAATCGTTTGAAAAATGCATTATTTTTTCTCACAACTTTATTTGCATAAATTAAAGCTAAGGCCCTTTTCACAGACATTTTGTTAGTTACTTGATAATAGAACATGCTGGAAATGTTGGCAATGTTAATCCCCTATAATATCTGCTAAAACATCCAAAGTTTAGTAAATTTTCCCTCAATACATGTAGTATAAAAAAAAATCATACCCAACAGTTTATTAATTCTAAATGCTCTTAAACAAGTAAATATATTATAAATTTTTCTTTGTTTATAAAATGTCAAACATTCTAATTAATGCCATAACCATACCAAAAGAGCATAAGAAACTAGTACAAATAACTTGCATGTTAAAAAAATACTCAAAAATATACAAATCTGAAAAAGATCCATTGTGTGTAGTTTGAATAAAAACTTTTTCTTAACATTATCTACATTTTAAAGAAATATATAAAAATAATTTATATTTAAAGGTATCACAAAACATAATTTGGTACAATACACAAAACAACGTGAAACACAAAAATATTATTTTTGTTTTGCACAATAAACTACTTGTTTGTCAAAAAAAAACACACAAAAAACAGAGAAAATAATTTAACGAGAAAATATTAATGAAGGCACTTCACTGAAATAAATACTTCTAAACGTTTTGGCACACATTTTAGATGCTACCAAAACCTACAGCAGTCTTAAAGCTGAAAATTAATAAAAAATATAATAAGGTTATCCATAATTTAACAAAAATGTTCAAGTATCTGTGTATTGTATTTTTCTAAACACACATTGTAAATACTGTAAAATGTTTAGTTGTAGTTTTAAAACAAAATATATATGTATGATATTTATATAAAAATGGGTGATAATAAAACCTGGAACTAATGAATCTAAAAACACTTAAGTAAATCTTTTTCTCATATTATTGTAATGAGTACACTTGGTCAAATTATAAATTTCATTTGTGTGCAAAAAAAAAATAATAAATTTTATATATATAAACTATCCTACTGTGACATAAAATTTTCAAGGCCTATTTAAAGACATCAAGTTGATCAGCTAATAACAGATACACTGAATGGACTAAGATTCTTTACATGCCTCAATCAGCAAATCAATACAAAAAGAAGCCTTTATCATTGTACTACAGCTGCAGTAATATAATATATTTCAAAATTAAGTATTTAAAAAAAATATTAGATACTTTTAAACTATTAAGAATAAGATGTATGAAATCTCCTTATTTCTAAGCATAGAGAGTTTGTTTGTTTGTAATTAAGCACAAAGCTACACACAATGGGCTATTTGTGCTCTGCCCACCACGGGTATCGAAACCCGGTTTCTAGCGTTGTAAGTCTGCAGATATACCGCTGTGCCACTGGGGGGCAGCATAGAGAGAAACATCAAATATGGGCCTTTTTTCAATATCTGGACTAGTTAGTTAAGAAACTACAAAAGTGTGAACAGTAATGGGCTTCAATCTGAACACCTGTGGGATTAACTTTTCCATCGTTCCAAGTCATGTGTAAAGTGCTGTTAATTAAATTATCAACTGTATACTTTAAATTTAATTACTTTAAATGCATTATCAATTATCAACTGTATACCTACCATTGGGTCTCCCTGTATACATATACATATATATATACAACTTATTTAAAAAACATTTTATATTCTGTCTGGTCAAAGTACGCTTCAGTTTCCATTACAATCCTAAGTCCAAAAACTGCAGTGCTGAAAATATCACTAACAGAGAGTATATCTAATTGATTAATAAATGCATTATTATAAGTTTAATGTTTATATTACTGCATACTTCTAGTTAGAAATGTATATGAAATTAGTTGCATTAACTTATAAATTCTGATCTACAAAGGTTGCTTGCTTGGGCCAGTAGTTATCGATAATGACTACTTAACTCACAGGAAGCTGTCAAGTATTAGAAGCCCACATCAAGTTGGCATTACTGGATTCACCAGTAGAGTGGTGCCTGAATAAGTGATTGTTAAAAATCCCTATGTATGTATATAATAAATTTGTCACAAGCTTCAACCAATGTACAAGCTTCACAGCAGTAAGTACCCAGAAGAAAACCTTTTTTCAGTGCTGAAAATTACACGTTTCCAGAAGAAGATCTATGTCATCCTCAAATAAACCTATAATTTTTCATTGTATCCAATGGATTGAGTAATATTCATAATAAAAAAAGTAATCAGTTTTATGGTGACCTCTCCTTAGCTAGTCTTTTATTCAATTACTAACACAAATCAATCTTAGTACATTGTAAATTGCACTGTATATCAATTTCAAAACATTATTGAGTTGAGAAGATACAGAAAATGTTGAAGACTGACTATCTAAACATCCTGTACTTTATATGTGCAACTAATTCAACGTGATGTGTAGAGTATACAAATATTCTCTTCACATCTGCATGAGGGACAAGGAATTGATAATTGATAAGTGTTGGTGACCATTCTGAAGCATAAACTATTCCCACTCTCATTCTAGTAACACTAACACTTATTAACCTTATGCAACTTGATAGGTTTGGGTTTTGGGGAAGTAAAGATGCGTTTTTACTACTGTGGAAAGTTTACGTTTTTTTTTAACGGGTTTTATACTGTGTTAATAGGATTATTTGTAGGAGAGGGTAAGTAGCAAGGAAAACAAGGTAAGTGATAATTTATCACTGAAATATATATACATCTCTTTTTGAAGGTGCTTCCTACTTTTAATATCTTAACAGATGTATCCCTTTTTGGGTAACAGCCCTTTTCAGGGTTACAGTTATAACAAATTTTTTTAAGGATCTTTCCAGTTTCATCTAAACATGTCCATGCTGAATGTCAGTACTCGTACGAGAGCTGTTGTCACATGGTCTACGGGGGACCCGCTGACTGTACGGAACTGATTCACTATGCTCCAGGAATTAGGCAAGGACTTATCCAGCAGTGAAAATGAGGTGGACAACCTAATTATTGATACATGGGATCATGACTCTGACTCAACGAACATCACACCTACAATCTCTCTGAGAAAACACATATCACTCTGTCATTGAAGTTTCATTTGCCATTTTGGCAATTTATATCTACCTTGATATTTGGGATGAAGAGAAACTACAGTTTCTGAATGCCTCTGGTTAGTCTTTTGAGCTCTAAAATTTTTTAGTTTTGAGTCTCAGATGACTTTTAATCCAAAATAACTGCCAAGGAAGGAATTTGGATGGAGATTGTCCATTAAGTGGCCCAAATATCTTCAATCATGCAAGAAGGCTCTGCAGTCAACTGCCACAGAAGAGGTAGTTGCTGGTTGTTGCCCTACAGAGATCTGTACTGATATACTTGATAAAAATGTGTTCTGTGTGTGAAACTGAAAATTTATAAAACATAATAGCATGTGTATCAATTAACTGAAAGAATGGAAGCAGTTGCATTACTTTCTCCTATGCCAAACGTCTTTTTTTTTTCAACCATACAACAATACATGCATTAGTAGACAGAAAACAGTTTTCTTATCAAAGGTGAGGAAAAATACAACACTAAAGAGTGATATATACAAGTTATCATCCTAGCCCATAATGCAGTATACAGTCAATATGGGTTACCAAGGGATAGATAAGAGTGAAGAATTATATTCAGCAAGCGACTTCCTTGTAGTCATGGCCAATTTCAAAGATCGTAATGTTCAGCAGAATATTCTTACACAGTTAGCTGACGTTATAAGAAACAGTCTATTTAATTAAAAAGTTTGTAAAATGCCATTCCTACTGTGGAATATAAGGATCTCTCTCAGTTAATGTGATGGAAAAGCCTATGCTCTCCCTGTATTTTAGCTGTTCTGGTTGAATAGTCTGTCTGTCTTTTGCACCACAGCTTATGCTAGAGTTTGGTCCATCTTAAGAAACAAGAAAATGACAAAAAGACATGCATAATTGGAAAGTTAGTCATTGTATTACAATCTTTCATAAATGAAAATGATCCAAGAAGACCTGATGCAGAATTTGTTTGATTAAAATTGGATTCTTCTAGGCAAAGAAACAGAAGGGAAGGAAGACGAATAAAATTAAAAGGGACATGAAAGTATGGAATAAATGATGATGATGAAACATACTTGTGTAAGAAAAAAAAAAAAGGCAAAAATCAGAAAAATTATAAACTTATCTGACTGGTCTAATAAGTTGTTTTGCAAGGTACTCATTGTATGCAAGTAATTTTTAACTTATAACATTATTATACAATAACTGTTGATCTGAAAGTGTTATTCAAAAAAGTTAACAATTGGAACAAACAGAAATTCATTTAACATATAGAAACAATGTTATACTGTTTATAACCAAACTTGAAGTTATAAATTAAGGAAAAAGTTCAAATTCTAAAGAATAGGTTGAGGTTATAGGTCTAAAACACCTTTAGAAACTTTACAATTTATAAGGCGAAAAAACCCAACAAAAAAACAATTAATTTTAACCCTAGAAATTACTAAGTAACATACAGCAGTATTTTACAAGCCAACTGACCACTTTGTTTTGGCTGGTCAAAAACCCACCCTTAGTTTTTTCTAGGCACAAACAGATAAGTCAAGACAACTTTTAATTATTTTGCTGATTTTCGATTACATAATTATTCAGATACCACAAGATTTTCTTAACACAGAAAACATTTCTTGCTTATGAAAAACAAGAATTGTCTATGTTTTGCAATTTATGTTTAAAGACAGGGATTTCTGAGTAGTTAAGCATTATGCTATAAAATTAAGCCTTAGATCTATGTTGAACTATATATTAAAATGAAACAAAAAACCTACATAAAAATGCTTACTTTAAGGAGAACAAGTTCCTGTATTCAACAGTAAATAAATGTATTCTGGCAATAAGCTAAACATACACACACATTATAGCAAAAAATCTCTCTCATCTAGAAATTAAATTATTTCAACCTGAGGAAAATTGATCTCATTTTAATTAAATTGAGTTAAAAAGGCACTATAAATGGTACCATAAAAAAAGTTTGAATTAAAATATCACCCAAAACATTACTCTGTTTAACATAAAAGTTAAAAAAAGAACAACAAAAACTAACAGCCACAACCCTCATCTTCTGGCTCCAATACTGTAGGTGCATCTTTTAGGTCAACATCCACAACTGGAAGAAACATTAAGGGAAAAATCAAAAACATTTGAAATATTTCTTTAGCTTCATATGGAGTTTTTGGCTTTTGAAAAATAATTCAATTATACAATATAAAATTACATTATATATGTCTACTGCATGAAAATCTTCTGCACCACTCCTATGTTCATTTTTCAGTTACAAAAATGAAGTATTTTAAAAGCAGAATTATAAATTTACAGGAAAAAGTATCCAGCTATTTAACTACTTCAAATTCAAATAATTTCTAAAAATATCCTAAAGAAGGCACAGAGGACATCACCATATGTGTAAGGGAAGGGTGGGTGTAGACAATACTATGTATTACAAAGGGAAAGATATTTGGGGAATGGCTTTGTCATTTCTCAGATCTCTGTCGCGAACAGCAGTGTTCGTGTATTAAGGTTTCTTGTGCAAATTTCTTCATTTGTTTATAGACACATAGAGTAAATGTACAGTTACATTGCCGTCTAGGGACCTGGGAGCAACATCAATGTGTTTTAATATTTTACCCCAATACTTAGGTTTTGAAAGTGTTGACAGATCTGGTCTCATACTAAATAAGTCAGTTGGTTTGTCACTTATGATCAGACCATTTGACTCAAAGTGTCTTTTGTGTTAGAGGTGTTTGATGATTATAACATGGTTTAACTTCATAGTCTTGAGACACCTTGCACAGCCATCAGGTTCATTCAGAATTCTACTTACATGACCTCATACATGAGTAGTCTAGGAAGGTCACTTAAATGTTTTAATTATTTTAAGTAAACAGCATTGTTGTTACATTTTACAAATTTTGTGTTTTCAAATACAAAATAACACAAGCAAAAAAACATTTTGTAGGTGAAACATAAATTTCCCTCCCAGTATAAAATTGTATCTTTAATTTACAGCTTTAAATACCAAAGGATACTGTCCTCTTTTACTTTATCTGTGTTTTCATTGCCTGGAAGAGCTGCTGCCACATGTCTGAACAACTGTATACATGTAAACAAAATAACCAAATACATAAAATATAAATCTAAAAATGAGTACAATGATGAATAAATTTTATCATTCAGTTTTAGCACCTGTATCTTCTATTGCTAATAATTTAATATACACATTTTAATTTCAAAATAATATTTATGTGTAACCACATTTAACGTATTTCAAATAAAGTGCCCATTAATTAATTTTACAAAGCTTCGTTCAGACGCCCACATTTTACATATACATTCAAAAAACATTGAATATGCTTGTAAAAACAGTACATGTTCTCTGTTTGGGAACTCAACTATAGCTTCTTGGTTACTAATCTGATATTCTGCTAGCCACATTAAGATTTTATATGCAAAATGAAAACAGTACATGTCTTTATTCACTCATATTACATTTTTTGTAACCTGTAGAAGCATGTAATATAAGTTCCAGCCGAAAGGTATTTTAACCTACAGAAATACAATAATACGGTATTTCATGGCAATAACCCTTTAGTCTATACAACTGAGGTACTTGCAACACAGGGTCTAAATCAATCTACTCCAAAAATGTTTTTTTTTATTACAAAGGACTGATTTCCTAATCAGTTGTGATAAAGGTTAGTCAATATGTAATTAGCTTTCCTAAATATCCACTTATGTCAGAATTATATGTCTGGCAAGTACACAACAGCTATATATCTGCCAGTAAATAGTACATTTAAATGTACATGGAATGTTATTTGCTGCAAGTTTTTTAAGATCTCACTAGTTACAATCAATTTATTTATTGTTTTTCTGATAGTTATTTAAAGAGTAATCTTATTCTTGTAATATATTATACACATTTTTTTTCTTTCTTACAGTCAGCTACTATTATAGTATCATGGGTAACAAGTTTATAATCAGATCTGTCTTGTTTACAGTATTAAATTCACTTGCGTAAAATTGCATTTTTTCTTGTCTCTATAAAGATAAAACTTTTGCTGAATTTGATGGCTTTCTCCTTTTACAACTTTTCTTAGAATGAAAACAATTGTACTACATTGGCTAATTGTGCTTTCTTGTATCAGTCAAAGAAATCTTTACTTGTATGAGCTGTTTTCTCAGTTATTCCCATCAGTACTCTTTTATTAAACGTTTAACACTGAAGATAGTTTTTTTGTATATATTAAGCAACAAATTAAACTTTTTGGATTAGAACTGGAGAACATGTTTTTTTATAACTATACAATTAGGTGACCTCAGTTTGTTCCTATACTTTAAGAACAGTTTACAAATAACAAAAGAGATAGTTTTAACTAAGACACTTGTACCTCATTACATGTTATTTTATACCTGCAGGTTTATATGAGATTTGTGGTATTTTCAGTTTCTGAACCTGGTTTCTAATGATAATTTTTGTTATATATATAACAAGTTTCATTGCATATTCTTATATTTAAAAGTCTACATCTTTTTATTTTATTTTACCCTATAAACAATATATTAATACTTTAAAGCTACTGTAAGAAAATAAAGCAGGTTTGAATCAGCTTACTTGTTTCACATTATATCCTGACTTTGCACTAGTCTCAATAAACAGAATACTTAGTTCTTTAGCTCTCTTCTCACCTTCTTCTGTGGTTACCTCCCTACAGTAAGAAAGTTGGGTAAGTTAGGGTTTAAAATTTTTGAAATACACACTATCTAATTTTTCAATGACTTTTTTGACACCTACACCAATCCAACTGCAATATACTGGAATTTCGTTTTTCTTTTTTTCTAACAAGGTTTGCAGTTAAATAGAATTGTGTTTGTGTTAATGCAAAGAAATCAGCTAAACTATAAACAAAGTTCAAACCAATAGTGATACCATTAACCTGATCATAACTTATTTCACTGAAAACAAATGATTACTTATTAGAAAATTTCAGGATAAACACAAGATTAATGTCTTTGGCTCAAAACTATATCGACATGTAATGAATTACTTCAATTTAATGAATACTTATATAGATAGGTTCAATGAGAAAACTGGTATAAATAGCACATTCAAACAATTTTGCTTCTTACAAACTACTTATATTAAAAACTGTGCTTTAGATTAATTTTTCACAAAAAAATCAATGAAAAACTGGTCAATTTATCATTGTAAATATTAATTCTTAAAACAACAGGTCTTATTAGAAATAGTGTATTTCTTGATTTCTTTGTTTGTTTGAAGTTTGTTTGTTTTTGAATTTCGCACAAAGCTACACGAGGGTTATCTGCACTAGCCGTCCCTAATTTAGCAGTGTAAGACTAGACGGAAGGCAGCTAGTCATCACCACCCACCGCCAACTCTTGGGATACTCTTTTTACCAACGAATAGTGGGACTGACTATCACATTATAATGCCCCCACGGTTGAAAGGGCGAGCATGTTTGGTGTGACGGGGATTTGAACCCGTGACCCTCAGATTGCGAGTTGAGTGTCTTAAAAACCCGACCATGCCGGGCCCTGTTTGAAGTTAAGCACAAAGCTACACAATGGCTATCTTTGCTCTTCTCACCACGGGTATCAAAACCAGGTTTCAAGCATTGTAAGTCTGCAGACATATCACTGTGACACTGTGGGGGCTGTATTTCTTGAAGACCACATAAAATACCACAGTGTGAGCCATTTGGACAAATTTAATTATTCTGAAATTAATTTATATTTTTTTAATTATCATTATTTCTGATATTTACTTTATTTTGATTAACTACTTAATTTCCTTTATGAGTTTTCAAAATGATAAGATGTTTTAATAAATTAAAATGTTTTATGGATTTAAATTCTAAAAATGAATCAACATATTGCCTTAAGTTTATAATACATTTATTCTTAGGTTATAAATTTACACAAAACATATATCTATGTTATGTTTTTATCAAAGACATGATTACTTTGCTATCTTACCGAGAACATAGCGACTTTATAATGGTTGAATACATTATGTTATCAAAACAATATTCATGTCGCTTTGTCTAAAAAATAAGGCAAGACATATAGCTTTACGTCTACTTCATAATAGTTATTCTCAGTTTATCTAGATCAATATGTATTTCAAATCTTCCCCCCCCCCCAAATCTGCCAAGTATTCAGATTAATGAACACTGTAAATAATGGAAATCACTTTGATAGCTGCAAGTCCAGTTACTAATCTATTATAATAATACTCAGTTTTTGTCTGTCCTGAAAATGCATGTGAACCTTACTATCTAAATGTGCATGTATGCTCACTTTATTTCAATGGATGTAAACAAAAGGTGGATGTAACTACACTTTAATAGACATTTTGTACAACAACATACTAAAAGCTTATCAAAGTTTTAAAAAAAGGTCTAATGGTAGGTCACAGCATAATGTTATAAATTTATTTATTAATAGTATTAAGTATGATAAAGTGTAGCCCTAACTAAATTAAAGCAAAAACATACACAAGTTACACTGTTAACTTATCTCTTTAACGAATATAGGCCATAATTAATAAGGGCTTAACTAATGTCAGGCCTATGACGAGTGGACTTATAAATTTTGATGTCTTCAATTAGAATTCTTTTGTATTATACTAGAAATACTGATGCAATAAAGATACTAATTTTACTGCAGATGTTTTGTGGGTCTCTGCTAGTAAGTCTTTATTCTACAGATGATCTAATACTAACCACTAAAATAATCTGTATCACATACAGGCTTTTAGCACACACATGTATGCAAACTTGATGCTTATATTAAACACGCATGTCATATAACCATGTAACATTTCATCATTACCAATGATTAAAGAGTAGTCTACGAGAAGCGTGTTTTATCATCCCCAATTAAACACACACAAATACAAACACAATCAATTGGGTAACCAATCATTAAGGTCTGTCTCTGATTTGCTGGAGGACATTCAACTGAAACCATCTTCATTTTAAGATTGTACTTTGAGTAAAAGGCATGTAATCTAAGGCATATCCTCAACACATACATTTTACAATTCCAGATGCAAACACATCCACAAGTAAGAGGGTTATTTAGTCAATACAAATTCTTTATTTACCGAGTAAAGAATAAAGAGAAAACTTAACTTCTAGAAGTATCAACACAATATTTCAGTGATCAACATCAATAACAAGGCACACAGGTATAGGAATCTAATGTCAAGAAAAGGTGGGAAATATAAAATGTAGATAAAATACTTGAAATAAATGTATTCTTAAACTGCTGAAGTAAATATACAAAACAGGTAAACCTAGATTTAAGGTACACTACTTAAAGAAAATACACAATACATATAAAATAACAGAAAACATACGAAGTAAATCAGTGATTCAAGTAATCTTCCCAAGAAAAGTTTTTGCAGTTAGTCAGCATTACTTGAGAAGAAAAAAAATTATTTTACAATTTGCTTTCATGTGAAAGTGAGAGAAAATCATAATGACTCTTGAAGTTTTAAGGCTTTTTACTGATGAACTGGGTAAGTCAGCTGCTAACTAAAAATCAAAAATAAGAATTTAACTAATTTCTTGACCTTAAAGACTCAAAGTGTTAAGATATTCAGAATTTTATCATTAATTCTTTTATGCCTTAGTAAAGGATCTACAAAGTACAGACTGTTTTTGTTATTATGAATTGCAAATTTTAGTTATTTCCTAAAGGAAGGGTAAACGTAGCATATGTAATTTTACCAATTATGCTATGAACTGGTCAATGAAAAACAATACTTACATTTTTCGAAAAGTGATCTACTTTACTTTATAATAATAATTTAATGAACAATGTACATCTTTTGGACTGTAACAGTTGAGTACAGCAGCGTAAAGAGGTATAAATTAATACCATCAACACTGAAGTAAAACAAAGATCAAAACAGGGAAAGAAAAATATAGCTTAGTTATATGATAACCAACATTTATAATAAGTCTGAAGACTGTTAGCTTTATTGATATGAATGAATGGTGTAGCACATTATCAAATATCAATAATGTTTATGATCCTTTTAAAAAAAATATCATTGTGTTCACCCAATTAACTTACATTACTCGGAATATTATATAAAACATTATTAAATGATATTCTTTAAATATGAGAAAGTAATCTCTATCTTCTTTTACCAACCTTTTATCAGGTAGATCAGTCTTATTTCCAACCAACATTATAATAACATCATTCCCTCTTTCTGATCTCACATCATCAATCCACTTTGAGATTTGTTGAAAAGAATTCATACCTTGAGATAAAATAAGACTGATCTGAATATTTCATGCATGGAAGTACAGGTTCATTATAACAAAAAAACTTTTAATTAAAATTATTTTATCTTAAAAACTACTACTCCTAGAAGAACTAAATTTCACCAAAGGCACATGGAGAATAATACATTTTATTCATGACATGTTTAAAATTTTTTATTTCATTATTATACTATACATAGAACTAGAAGATAACTGTATTTTGTTTTTTCACTGAACACTTATATAAAGTGTTTGATCCATTAAAACTAGCTGTGGAACAATAAGTTTACTGGTTTGGTTCAGACATATGCTCAAAGATTAAACAAGAGTTATCTGTGTTAGCTATCCTTATATTTGAACTGGCAGAGTGAAGGCAGCTAGTCAACAACACCCACCATGAGCTCTTGCATAACTCTTATTTGACCAAATTGTCTGATTTGATTGTCACTCTTATAATGCACTCATGGACCCATAGATTCAGAGTCTTGCATGCTACTTACTAGGCCACATTCCCAATAATAACTCCAAGTTAATAAATGCTAAACTAATATTATAATTATTATAATAATTAATATTAGGCAGTTACTCAAAATTAAAAATACTTTACCAGACAGTTATTTAAGCCAAATATATTATTATTAGTAGTACTTATATGCAAGTACATATGTTTTGATATATTATCTACAAAATTGTTAGGTTAATGTTTCAATTATAATTTCTAAAGGGTTTATAAAACTGTCATGTGAACTGATTGATTTTTTAATGGAATTGTACAATAAATTTTGATAAGTTTAAACAATCATAGACATTCATCATATAATATGTAGCTCCCATCAAAATTCATTAACTCACCCTTTTAATTTTTAATTCATGTTGCTTCTTAATTTGAATAAAATTAGTCATTTTAATGCAATTCTTACAACTTCATTAAATCCACAGACAACTTGACAGGATTTTTAGTAGCACTTAAAAACTGATTAATGGATATTAATTCACATAACAATTAAATAAATTTACTAGTTCCCTTTTAATCTACTTCAATGGATGAACTCTAGGTTAATGACATATATCATCCACTTCATAACACCTTAAATAATGGGAATCAATTGAATAATTAATAGGGTTTCAATAAATAAATTTAAGACTTTTTAATAGGTATTCATACAGCAATGATAACAGCCTGAACAATAATGTTATACATTATACCAAGTCACTGAAACATTTTCTTGAATGACCAATAATTTTTTTTGCCAATATGAAATAAAAGCATATGCTTAAACATGACTCCTTTCTTTAAGATGGTACTAAAAGGTCAGTTTACCAAGACACACAGTAGTGTGTTGTGCAGACAAAAAAAAACCTGCAGGACACACTGTGTGTTATTAACAGGAATGATAGTTTAGTAATTTTCCAATCTCTGTAGCTTTGACTGTGGTAATTCAACTATCACATATTTTCAGTGGATGTGTGCTACTGGACCCTTACTCCACATACCAAATTTCAAGGCTATCCAGTAAGAAATACATGAGATATAAAATCACCAATTTTGATTGAATTTCTTCCTTTTTGTTTTCTTTGCACCAAAAATATGGAAACTTTGATAGAAAAACATAGTTTAATAGAATTTTTTAAAATTTGGTACACTGATAGATCTTTACAACTTAGAATTAGGTGCCATATTTGGTCTAAATATAAGCCACAAGTGCAAAGTTATTCAACAAAAACTGCTTAATTTCGATCAAAATCTTTGTGCGCACCTACACAAAAAGTCACATGAGCTATTAGTCTGAAATTTTCACTACAGCTTCACCTAAGAGTAAAGGTAGACTGTTTTTAGTTTTTTGTCCTTTGGATTAAAGATGGCTGACTTAGAGCAGCAAAAATATAGTATTGGTTAGGCTACGCAAATTGATTAGTAGTTTCTAGCTCAAGTTTTCAAAAGAATCATACGGGTGGATGGTTATTATTTATTGCCAACTTTTAAGCACAAATCTTATGAAATTCTCCCAAATAAATGAGCGTTAAGCATCTTGTGATATAAGCTTAATGAATTAGCATAAATAATAATGCTTGATATGACTGTACCAAGTATATGTGGGTGATGACAAGCAACTGTTTATCAAGAGTCCATGGTGTTACTATAAATGAAGTTATTAACACTGTTTTAGAGAGGAAAACTACCACTATATATTTTAAAGAACCTGGTTGTTTCTGTAAAGTATAGGTCTGTTCCAAATAATAGGGTTTCAATCCTAAAGTTAATGTTGATTACTATCAAGTGTCGCTTTCCTACTTGCTATGGTTTGTTGGTGTGTATTGACAAAAAGTAATGATAACTAATGAAAAACACCTTAGGTGTGAACAAAAAAGGTGTAGCAAAAAAGGGATTGAATGTGTGACTTAAAGAAATGAAATCAAAATTAATGGTCAAACTGGTAGCTACATTTATATCAAATATTCATTCATAAGTTAGCTAGGCCAAATATTTCGTTTTACCTATCATCATGCCCCAAGTTGAACAAAAAATGTAACCAGGCTAACTAATGAATGAATATTTCTTGTAAGATTATTATTAATGTTATAAGTGTAGCTACCAATTTTGATTTCATTCCTTTAAGTCACATGCTCAATCATTGTTTTTTTCACAACTAAGGTGTTTTTCATTAAATTTATTATAATACTCAAGTCTTTTATCTAACTATAATTCAAACAATGAGGAAAAAGGGCATAAAAGGCAATATTATGGGAATGACACCCCTTTATTGTGTGAAAATGAACTGCACTCGAGTACAGTCACTTGCTGATAGCTCACGCTGTGATTAATTGTATAAAGCCTATAATTTGAGGTACTGCAATGTATGTGGATAAATCAAAGTTTTAGCTAGTCAAAAATATTACATGTGAAAAATTGTGTTAATACTGCAAGACTGAAAGGGTACATGATATCATGGTGCCTTTCAATAGAATACAATCTCCAGGTGATATAATATGTTAACTACTCTCTGTTAAGTCTCCAATACAGCTCAATATAAAATGACTTCAAATGCAACTACACATTGTGATGTCTATAATACAACTCAGTTAAATTTACACATGATAACAAACACATGTTGTGAAGTGTTTATACAGTGGAAGAAAAAACAACTTACATGTGATGTCATACACAACTATAGCAACAGTGGAATCTCTTATGTAACTTGGTATTAAACAACGGAATCTTTCCTGCCCTGCAGTATCCCATAACTGAAGTCTCACCTATTAAGGATAACCAAAACTAAAAGTTTTTACTATGATAAAAGTGTTTATGCAACTGTAGTTTTGATTACTCACTGTTATAAAAGCAAACTGACATGTTCCATAAAAAGTGAAAAACTATCTTATGAAACTTTAAAATTGATGTTTAATGCCACGGAAAATATTTTCATAATAAATAGGATATTTTATTTTTAACTAATAATATTTAAGGAAACAATTTTGGAATACATATCTAGAGACATCACTTAGGTAAAAACACTGCATAATGTGAAAAATTTCAACCCACAGATTAGATGTTTTTCAAAATACACATACTGTTCCATTTATCTTTAAATATTTGAAAGTAGGCCTTATGTACTTTTTTTATGGCTATCTGACAACTAATAATATCTTTTCAACAATGATCATTGCCCAGTAAATATTCTGACAACATGACAATTAAAATTCCTTGCTGTAAAGGTAGAATGTCCATATTAATACTTTCTTGTGAAATTATGCATGAAAAAAACATGAAAACATAGCTAAAAAGTACAAGAGAGATCCATGTTTTTAACAGCAAGTCAACAAACACAACATGGAAAAATAGTATAATGCTCATATATCATTAAGATGAGCACATATCACAAATGAAACATTTTGAAAAGTATTAATCAAGTAAACAATTTACAGATAAAGTATATACAAATTCAATAAAATGCAGAAAGAAAAGGTTAGCTCAACTTTCAAAAAATGATATCAAAACACAATATCATTCCATTTCACAAATAATATAAAATGAGAAGCAATGTACCAATAAATACCCATAAAATAAAATACAATAAGAAAATGAACAATAAACAGGAACGACCTAAACACTATAAATCCAGAAATAAAAAATGAAACACCAAAAATAACTGGTATGAAATATATGGACTAATTCAAAATGTAAAAACAAACATCTGCAATATCTGTTTATTTGTAAAATATTATGAAATATTTTGAAACCAATTACTATTCTATGGCACATAAGGCTAAAGCTGATAAAAAGTATTATGTTTAGGGTGAAACATGACAATACTTACTGTTCTATCCTCCAAGTACATTGTCTTGGAAAGGAAGTCTATTCCTATTGTAGCCTGCAAAAATGTTAAAAGATAATCTTATCAATCTACTGGTTTTATACAATAAATTAACATTAATATCCTTCTCAAATCTATTTTTTAAGAATCTTGCATGTTAAATCCATCCTTCTTTTTCCAAAAGGTACTTCCACCACTATAAATATAATATATTCATAAAAATTTCATATATCAGGTTTCAGTGTTTCTGCTTCTCTTAAATAGGCCATAGTTCAAACTTAAAAGTTCTCTTGGTTATTGTATGCAGTTCAATAGTGTAGTTGTAGAAAAGATCTGAAGAATTCTGTCAGAGACATCTATCATCTTCATAGAAAAAAAGGAAAATAAAATATTTCTATCTGTCTATAAAAATTTATAATTACAAATACAAAAATATTACGTTTTGTTTAAGATTCAAGTGGAGTAAATCTCAATTAAGATTTTTTTGTAGCAAAAATATTGAAATAAATACAAAGATAGGTTTGCACCTTAAATTATGGTTTTAATTTATGAATTGGGCTACAGAGTTAGACATAAATATTCACTTTCTGCCTAAGTAATGTATTGATCTCTATCTCAATGTCTGGTCATTTACGTTAACTGATAAATTTAAGTGATCAATTTAAAGATGGATTACTCAGTCAAAATGATGTTAGGAGATACTCCTGTTCTTGGGATTAGTGTCATTTGTGTCTGTTACTACCCACAGAAACTTCCTATATAGTGAAAGAGTAAAATCAGTTGATAACAGGACTGCTGAGATACAAGTTACAGGGAAGTAACTGGACTATAATGAAGAAGGTTCCATCCTTTAAACAGAATGTTCACTTCTAGATTTTGTAAAATTCTATTAAAGATGTAGAAACAGCTCTCTATGCAGAGTGCATTACCCCAGTTTTTCATCAAGTAGCAACAAAAAAAGAACCCCAACAACTCTCCCTTACATAATTTTCAGAGTAACATATAAATCACAATATTTAGCAAGACCTTACAGATTTGGTCAGTAATGCTAAAAATAATTAGATATTCCTATAACAAAATGTATATTTTTATTATTATTATCAACAGATTGTTCTGAATCAACTAGGAAAAACTGGCTTTCCTATATGTCCATAATTTTTAATTATTATAGTTAAAATGTAAGTTTTGACTCAATTTAACACAATGGAACCACCACCAAATACCATGATACTTAAACAGAACCATGTGTAACAAATAACTTAAAGCCCATTTAATATAGATTGCACTATAAAAAACATCATTTAACACACACAAGTTGATACATAACAAAAATGTATTCTGAAATACAAATTTCACATTTTATATTACGTTCCACCAAAGTTTAAAATTTTCAGAGGAAGAGCATCCTAGCCTGAAACACTGTGAATAGTAAAACACGTTTATCATTTACCACACTTTTGATTTAATTGTACCACTTCAGTCTCTGTATGACTTTTTATAATGCATGTATCTTCAATCAGCTCATTCATCTCTTCTCATTATGAATCACCAAACAAGTATTTGTAGAATAATTCTCTATTTCAGTCAGTAGAGCTGGGAGATTAGTCAGCAGTTCAAAATTAGTGACCAATGGCAGATAGTCTTAGGAGTTTTGCCATAACAATGACAGGGCAGCAAGTTTGGTGGTAATGGGAATGGAACCTGAGACCCTTAAATCACAAGCCCCTCGAAATCACCAAAGCTGAATATACTTGACACAAAATGAAATGCTATAAATGGAGTATGAGCTGCTCCCTTCCACTGTTTTAAGCTGTAACACATGAATCATTTTTCTGGTGGTGAAGTAATTGATACCCGAGCCATTAAACATCACATGTACACAAACACAAACTTTGCTTAAGAGATTGACAAAAGAAAAGCATATTACTAAATCAACACTAAAACAATATAGTATCAAAATATAGTATTAAAATGATCAATAATAATCATACACATACAGAGAAAAATACAAAACACAGAATATGATAATAATCACAAACAGTAATGATGATTAATCCTTATTAAACAATAATGAATGACATTTTGTTTATGGAAGAGGACTTATTTGTGTTGTGATACAACTACACTTTTGTGAAAATTAATATGAAAAACCTCAAATCAAAATTATTTCATTCTTTTTACTGTGGGATGTCAATAGGAAAAAACTAAACTCTGAAATGAAATTTTGAAAATTAGGTGCTCTCACAGCAATTTTGAGCATGTTTGTGGCACAAAAAAATGAATATTTTCAGGTGCACTGTATCCTGTGAAAAATCCACTGTTTCTTCTCAGTAAAGGGTTATCTATTCTGTCATGTCACCCATGAACAATAAATAGTTGACCATTGTATTAGCTAATTTTGTAAATAACCCTATAATTACCCAGATGAAACCAGTCAAGTTCCTGCCTAAACTTGAAAATTTTCAGCTTTTAGAATAAAAGTACTCCCTTTTGGTCCAAGCATTTTCATCTGAAAGATATTGTGTCCATTTACATTACGACATGTGGCTAGAATAGCTACATGCGGATGTCAAAATGTGACTGATCAACTCCAAGTTTCATAGCTCACTTTAGGATAAAGAGCTTGACATATCTAATAAATATTTTGACATATGAAAAGAGTTTGGTCTACTGATTATGTTTTTGAACTTGGATGGCAAATTATAAAGATGGATTTTGAAGGATTCT